AACAAACCCAACGCTACACCCTCCCAGAAATGCAATCAGAAACCACTATGTACAGCTCCAGTAAATATAAAATATATATCCCCATCAGATATTAAATAAAAAATTAAAAACTAAGAAATCAGCAGGATATGATTTTAATTTCGAATAAAGTTTTAAAAGAACTAAATAACAATCTGATAGCAGGCATTACAGCAATATTTAACGCAGCACTCAGAATAAGTTACTTTCCCAACGATTAGAAAATTGCAACAGTGTTCCCCAGTTAATTAAGCACAACGAAAATTTTCCCTGGATACCAAGTAATACAGTAGCCAAGTATCTAGGAGAGCAACTTGATACAAAATTAAACTGGAAAACACACATCCACACAACAGGAACAAAATCAAGCACAACGTTTCCAACACACTAATTAACAAAAAGTCCTCTCTTAAAATAGAGACCGGAATGATAATTTACAAGTCTATAATTCGACCAACTATGACTTATGCATGCCCAATATGGGGAATTGCAGCCAAATCTAATTTAAACAATTTACAAACTTTACAAAATAAAGCACTAATAATTATAATTAAAGTCCCGTTCTAACAAGCAAGTTCACCACGAACTGCAAATTCTGACAATAAAAGAACACATCATCACACTGTCCGAAGACTTCTCATCTCCCAGCACCCCCATATTCAATATTGGGCGCACAGCAGAACCGAACATACACATAAACTCTCGCTTCCCTAAAGACAGATTCAGACCACCATAAAATAGCAGAAAATCGACCTCAAATGATATGATCTTCATCATATCAACGAACATTCTCTGTAGTTTAAATTTACTTTCAAAATAATTTTAATTTTTAAAATAAACCAAAAATAATTTCGCACCCATCCAGGACACCCACAGTTAGGAAATAAGCCAAAATTATGTTTTTCTTCACAACCCTAAAAAACATCTATGTTGAACAGGAAGACAATAAATTTTTTAAAAAATGCATAAATGGGACGAGAAGGGCGGCGAGAGAACTAACAAATTCACGCCATGTTTAGGAGTACAGAGGGGGTCAACTACATTCAATGACAATGACGGCAACGACTTTTCCTCATTGACAAGAGTCAAAAATTATCTCAGGCCCTACCTCAAAAACTGGAATGTTAAGGTCAACATCTTTTGTGTCGGAACCTTTCCGTTAGTACGTCATTTATTTAAAGTATGGAATTTGTGACACTAGTAATAACTAGTTACTTCTAGTAATATCGTGTTCTAATAACTAGTGGCTCCACAACCAGGTAGTTCTGATTCGTTCTCGACCGTTTGGAGGTATACGAATATTTATTACACGTGTCGGACAGGAGCGTGTCATGGAATCAGATAATTGAGCGACACTTCAGTTATCGCGAGGTACACGTGCCTTCTCTTCTCAGAGCAAAGTTTCTAGAAGGGAAATCAGATCTTACAACATCTTCAAAAAAATTAATAGTAATTTTTGTTGAGAAACATGAATGAATGATTGAAGTATTACCAATTTTGTTCTACAAATGTTTAGGCTTAACAAAATCTCAATACAAGAAAAGGATTTTGGTACAAAACTGAAACGTTACAACAGAACAAACAAATGTATAGGAAGTCCCTTCAAACTCAAGATGACATAACAAAAATTAGACTTCATAGTGTCATTACCAGACCAGCACTCCTCTACGGCAGTGAGGTGTAGGAATTGAAACGGAGAACGAAAGACACATTGAAGTAGTGGGAATAATGTATCTCGGACCTTTATTAAAAGTAACAAGAAAATACAAAATAGATACGAAAAAACTTAAAACATCCAAGACGATCAAAAGGAAACTGCTAGTTCACATGAAGAGAATGAGATGAATTTGCCTACCATAACGAACCCTGAAATACAAAACGAATACGACAAGAACAGAAAGAATGTGATAAAGGAAAATGTAGGAAGACGAGGAACTCATTAATAGTGACTAATTGGACCTGAATAGTGGGAGATACTGGATTGGGTCTATCCATATGGTGTAGTCTATAAATAGTGATGGTAGAATTTAACACTTTAATTTTTTTTAATCGCATTTTGAAAACCATGCTATAGCATTATAATTTAGATTTAGGATGTAAATTTGTTGAGAAATTATTATTTGAGGGAGGACTCGTAGACACAGCAAAAATATTTTTAGGTTTTTCAGTTTTCCCATTAAAATCATGAATAACGAAAACTAATTTAATATCCACCCCCCCCCCCAGTGTAAACTTCAACAACTATAAACGCGTAAGAAGTAACGTGTGCGTAGGGTCTACCTACTCTCGTGACCTTCTCCGTACAGCGAGCTGAGGAATCTGATGACCCTTAGCGCTCAGGTTTTCGAGAGCAGTTTTTTTAATTGTTGTTATTATTTTTTACTTTGTTTCAGTTAATCTTAATTATAACTTAATAAACACGGCCTGTTTAAAGTTATATGTTTTGAAACATGGATGTGTTGTCGGTGTTGCAACGCTAGTGAATATGAAGGAAACCAGAAAATCCAATTTATCGCAAGTTATATCGCAGATTCACGACCATTTCGTACTTTGTACGTGATTTCGCAGTTAACGACCGATTTCGCATTCTATCGCAGATTGAAAACCTTCAGAAATGTACTGCACCGACCGCCAAACATACAATTACTATTTTTTTTTCAGCGTTTGGTAACATTTTGCATTTTTTGCAATTACTAAAACCTACCATCTCTCTCCACAAATTACGCCACTTTTTTTTTCTATTTTAGATACCCCCATTCCGTCACGCATCGCTAATGTCCTAAAAAAAAACACTTGCGTCAACTCCCCATTTATAAAAAGGGAAAATAAATTATATAATCGTAAAAACAATTTCTATTTATTTTATTTTGTGTTATACCTTAAAATTCATAATAATTAAATAATAGACTTGAAACTAGTTTCTTTTTCAACCGATTTCACTTTCAATTCATTTTTTAAATTGTATTTAACAGGTATACAATGAAATTAATAACTTTTCTGTGTCAACATTGCAATATAATGACAATAATATTGTAATTTCTGTGACTAAATATATTTTCGTTTTAGAGCGGCCGAATAAAAAAAATCTTTGAACCGGACTTTTTATCAAAATATTTTATTTTATCTTTCAACAGTTAAAAAAAAGACTACGAAAAATGATGAAATGTTTATTTAAAAAGAAAATATGGGAGTAAATAAAGATCTGAGTCTTAGTTGACTCAAATGCTCTTATCGGAAAAAGCGCTGCGTGCCGCTTACGATGTACTACAAAACAAAACACGGCAGCATATGCGTGCGCACGGGAGAGGAGACAATCGGGCCGTGTCCTTCCTAAAAAATTTCAAAAGGGGCCCAGTAGCCCTACGCAATGAAACATTTTATTTCAGTAAATTTGATCAATTCATGTTTTTCTCTTTTTTAAACTTAAACTTTGGAATATGAATACATTTGGGAAAAAACCTTTTCAAATCTGAAAACCCTAAAAATTTTCAAACGCTGTTCTCCTTGTAGTATATTTTAATTATTGCCTAATAAAATGTGTCTTGTGTAAATAAAAAAAATTAATGGGAAAGAGAGCCCAAAGGAACCCAGAAATGTAGTTGTTCTCCCCCTCTCGTTTTAGGCTGCGCACCCCTATGTACAGCAGTGGCAGATAATGACGTTTGCTTCTTAAATACTATTCGCGTGAAATTCGCGTGAAATTATAAGCGATTAAAAATTGATATCAGCTCATTCAGTTACGCACAGGAAATGAAACTAAAATATTAGCGTCAGTCACAGTTAGTTGGCGATGCTGACTGTAACTAACAATAAATAATGGGGAGATAGGCGGCTTAAGTGAAAAAAGTTTCTGCTACTAAGATGGGCAGACGACGACGTGGTTGACAAAGAGTGGGAGGAAATCTCCAGTACTTATTTATGTGGATTCTAGAATACACTATAGATTAGTTTTAAATATTTTGTTCATAATCTAACCGATTCAATAAATATACCATTGCTGAAAACTTATTTACAATTATTTTAACAATTTATGCAGCATAACTTTTTTATTTACTTATATTTTTTTAATTTTTAAAAAAACATTATGATGTATTGTTGTTTTATTATCAGACTCAATAAAAGGAATTATTTCTAAAATATTGAAATGAAAAAAATTGAAATGGTGGTAATGACAATGAACAATTTCTTATTAATTGATTAGTGTTTTCAGGCGCGTCAACTGCTAAGGTAATTTGTCCCGTAAGTGCAATGTGCAAGTGCTTTTATCGCGGGAGGTGAACTTCCCCGGCTTGATGGCGAAACCCGCCGCCGACCAACAAACAGGTCGGTTTGCGAGGTTTCCCAACCAGATATCTCCCAACATCGGGGCACCGCCCCAGCCGGGACAAGCTCTGAGCTCCCGGCATGTGTTATCACGAAAGTGTGTGTGTGTGTGTGTGTGTGTAAGGGGTGAGGAAAGGACAAAGGAAGAGGAAGGAAAGATCCCGCGTGATCCGTGAAGTGTTAGGATATTGCTTCGGTCTTCACCTAGTCTTCATCGGCGAAACCATGGAAAACTTCACAGGGCCGACAGAATTATCCTCCAAACAACGGCTGAATTCGAGTATCTATCGAATGTATCTAGCTTGTGTCATAAATCCTGCTATATTTGGGACTTGAACCTTGGGTTCCGGTCAGGATCTGCATTAACATCAATTGATGCCCTGAGCCACCTAAAACTGTTTCTTATTCATTCATTTCAGTATTAAAGCAAATATTATTTGAAGTTCAATGATGTTTTTTTTATGTAGTTCTTAATGAAAAATCGAAATAAAAAGTCTTAGTGAGCAAAATTGTTGAGGAATGAGTTGTGATACTTTGATGAGCATTCTTTTGGTCATGTAGAGAAGTGAGGATGATAATGACCTTGATGTCAATTTGTTAGACACTAGATACTAAGATATAAAGAGAAAAAATCTCTATTTCAGCTATTATAAACTTACCTATTACAAAAGCCACCAGAAACATTCCAGAGGCTGTTATTCCCACGAGGAATCGAGATAACATGAAGCACAAATATGTGGGTGATACAGCCACTAAAAATCCTGCAACTAGCTGCATTGTCAATGCTACAAAAAAGATGGGACGACGACCAAATCTGCAAGTAATTCAGGAAGTTTGTTTAAAATCTGAACTAATTCAACCTTTTTGGAAACACTGCTAACTTACAAACACAGTTATTATTCCAATTAAAATAGTTAGCTCTCTAAAAAATACAGTTAAAATTCTAAAAAATAATGTAATTCATCAATATATTATGAGGTTTGTTTTGTTGGTTTGACAGAATATTCTTTGAAACATTTTATCTGTATTGTGTGGATATTTTCTTACTTATCAGAGAGAAAGCCAAAACTAACAGATCCTAAAGCATCTCCCAACATGAACATTGAATCTGCAGTTGCTCGAAGCCATGCTTTATCACACACCAGATCCCACTGAAATCACAAACTAGAGGTTACACTCTACACTACCCATACAACAATTAAAGATGTATGTCAAATATTTAAGTGCTTAACATTTAGTTTGGAAGCATCTCTTAAATAAGAAAATGTGTATTCTTAAGCTGATTTTAGACATTTTGTTGTCTTTATCTAAAATTTTGTTAAGTTGAAATGTTTAATTATCATGCTGCAGCCATATTAGGTCTTATTAAGATGCACACCATTCACCTCAATTACTGTGCTGCTTTGGTATGTGGTTTTGTCATATATCCAGCCGTTGTCACAGTAGACACTGTGATTTGAGGGTAAGTTGTTGATAAAATATTCATCTGAAAAATCACCATCAAGTCTTTGACATGATGACCATGCTTTAAGCCTGGTGTCCCATGGATATGTCATGTTGTACAGTTCTCTGGGAAGTTCCTGATAAGTAGCATTGTTACTTTCAAAAGGTAGAGAGCATCTACGTATAGTAACAGAATGTAGATGAAATGAATTAATAAGAATAATTAGGTTTCAAGTAATAAGATGATAGTTTTGAATTGTACCTGTGATCGATTTTTGCTTGAAGAAATACTCCTGCTAACTTATGAAGTGCACAGGAAATATTAGTGAGGCATAAGAGAAAATAAATATACCTCTGGTAAGGGCCAAATGCACCTAGATAAAGGAAAATATCTTCATATGCCATGTTTTCCTAAAAGCATTGAAATAATGAACAGAAATTAACAAATAAATCATAATATTGTTAAGTCATACATATAATTTAGTTTTTATTTTTCATAATGAGCTGTGAAATTAGCTAAACAATTTGTTAATATCACTGAATTAATGAAGTTCCTGTTTTCAGTGAAGTTGTAGGTCTCTGCATCTAGAGTGAGGTGAATGCTCTCAGTTTTCCAGATGTCAGGGAACATTATTGTTCCAGTGATTATAGGATTTTTCATATAAAAATTTAAAAGTGATAGGCCCTACTGTTAACTGGTTATTATCAGATGGTAATGAAATTGAAAAAATATTGCCAAAATTTCCTTAGACTCTGTCTTTGAATATGATTTATTCCTATCTGCCCAAAATGAATGCCTTGGTGGCTGAAGAATGTATTATAATTTACTCCCTTTCTTATTCAGCTGCAAGAAATTAATAATTTATATTTTTAAATGTATGCATTTCTGTCTCATTAGGTTCGTTCAGTCCATTAATCTTTTATAAACCTGTTTTTATTAGATTTT